GCTCTCTCTCATTCTCTCTCTCTCAGATAAATAAATAAAATCTTTAAAAAAAAAAAAAGAAAGAAAATGTCGAGGTTTGCTGCCGGGAGGCCGGGCACGGGCGGTCTCTTCCACACCCGGGAGGGGGGATGGCAGCCTGCAAGCTCCGTGCCTCAGTTCTCCCTACGCATGGGGCCCGGGAGCGGTCGTGGGGCCTCGGTGCCCGGAGTCACTGGTACAGAGACTTGCACACGTGTTGCCTGGCTCTGGCCCACCCACCACAGCCCCTGCCCCAGACCAGGAGATGCCTGGACATTTGCACGTTTAGGAACCGTTACTTGTGGGGCCTGCCTCAAGGTGGGTGGAAAAATGCAACAAACTGCCCAGCAAACAGCCCGGGGGTGGGGGACGGGGTGGCAGCCCACCAGTATTCCCTGAATGTCCTGCTGAGGCTTCCAACAGGGAGGGCGCGGCTCTTGGGGGGGGGCGGGGAGGGCAATGGTGGGGTGTTGTGGAAGGAATTAACATAATGACTCAAAAGTGCACTAATGTTTCACAGCTTTTGTTTTATTAGCAATACCAAGATAAGTTATTGAAGCATTTTTAGTATTGTTTTACATTCCATTCATAAATGACCTAACTTGTAACTCAGCATACAGCACACTTAAAGATATAGTTTGACACGTATTCAGAAAGCTACAATTATTAGAACTTACATGCCTTCATTACCAGGAACACCTTAATATAATCTTCTCATTACGTCAACAATACTCTAGTCCGAAGCACACGATAACCCAGCACAAGTCTCCACATTTTTGCTTCCATCACCACATTTGAAGTTGTGGGTGCCAAGGCGCTGTTCACTGGAATGTCACTGTCCTCTGTTCCCGGTTATTAGGACGACCTGACACAATATTAAACTAGCAATAGTACTGCTTAAATACTATGGAGAAAGATAATGACTTCACTTTTCTGTATTCTTCTAAAGTGTTACAAAATACAGGACAATCGGACACAGGCAGTAAGGCCAACAAGACCCGCGGGGCCCGCTCCAGAAGCTTGGCGAGCTGGTGTAGCAGACCACCCCCCCGCCCCCAGTCAGATTTTTCACAGGTGAAGGGACCTCCAATCCACCAGCATTTGTCACTCAGGATTCACGACTTTGAGGGAATTTTCTCTCTCGTTCAAGTTACCAAGCCTTCGCGGTCCACGACTAACGGAGGAACATATGGGGCAGTATTTTTAGCCTCCCTGATTCTCTCCTAGATATACTGTAGGTTGGTGTGCTGTGTGTATACACATACCTATGCCAACAAGAATTATTTATTCAACACACATATGTGTATACAGTCTTCTCTTGACTTTACACCATTAACAAGCTGCAGATAGCCACCGAGGAGCACGAACAGACAAGGGCCAGTCCAGCTGGACCGACTAGAACAGGGGGTGTCACTTACCTGCAAGAAAACGTGCAGATTCATTAAACAATCCAGAAACCATGGAGGCGAGAGGCATTTGAAAGCAAGGACAGGGCCACACTCCCTAATTGTTTAATGGAGTAGTGACAATAAAGCAATATTTATAAAATTTGGTCCTTCCGTCTCTGGCTAAAGCAAGAATAGTCTACGTGATTAGAGCAGGTTGGCAATTAGGCATAGAGGTGCTGTTGATCAGCGCTAAGTAATAGGAGATAATTACTACTTATTTGAAACCTGGGCTTTGCACACAACATCTGAATATAAAAAAGAAAGAACCGGATTCCTTCATAGCTAAGATGTGGCCCTACAGCTACATGGCTGTCGGCGCCAACCGTCACCCTGAGGCAGTAGCCGGAGAAGGGAGAAGCCAAAGCTGAGGCCTGGGATCCCTGCACTCGGCGCAAGACAGCGAGGGGGTCACACTGTCACTACTCCACACGGCGGTGGCCGGCCAGCCGGGCTAGGAGACTCTGCATGTCCCCGGGGATGTGGGCGTCCGTGCTGACAACACTCTCCTCTCTCATCCTTCCCTTCCTCCCTCCCGGTCTTAAGTCATTACTGGGCAGAAAAAAATGTGTGTCCGTGTGTCTGTGTGCGTATTTTTTTGAACCAAAGAGCTCAGCTGCTGTCTTCTCTCGCCCTAGGCTTGGTCCCGGGCAGGAGGTATCGAGCAGTCCAAAAAGAATATGCATGTAGAAACCAAAATGAAAGCTACCAGACTTTCCTCCGGCTTCAGAGGCACTGTTGATTCAGACAGTAGCTTTTGGAGCCAAAAATATGCAGCAAAAGGAAAGGAACATAAACAAGGCTAAATGTCACCAGTGTTTGCCGACTTACAGACACCATCCATTTGTTTGTTCTGAAATGACGAGTGGACCATTTGGCAAATACAATGGTATTCACACAACAGTTCTGTCATCCTGCAGTGCAAACGACATCACGTCAGTGGCATTCCCATTTAATTTAAAAAGAGGGATGGGGAGGAGGAGGAGAATGCCCAAAGAGTTTAGAGAGGCTGCCATCCAAAGAGGCTGCCTCTTCATCAACACAGTGCACACAGTAAGGCTTTGGACCAGAGAAGAGGCGAGCCGGTCCATGGGTGCTGGTTTCTGCAGGAGATCCCAGGGGACGGCACCTACCCTTTGTCCCACCAGAGTCAAAGGGACAAGGGCTGCAGCGAGCTGCGAGGCAGCCAGCGGGCACGGGGCGGGCAGGATGGGGTGGTGAGCTGCGTTAACTTAAAGGATCTGCCCTTGGACCTCAACACAAGCCAAATGGTCCTCCCTACTGGGGTCCAACATTGGACCCTAGACACACACTGCTACTGGGAGCGGGCTGGACTCTGGAAGTCAAAGAACAATCTGCAAATGATCAAGTCAGGCAGAGAAAACGAGTACAAAGTTGTGCTTCATCGACAGTCTCTGCAAGCCAAGCCCTTCAAGAACCAGCTCATAAAGAAGACAAGAAGGAGGAATGATTGCTCATCTGGATTTAAATAAAGCATGGCAGCTCTAGAGACAACAAGGCCCTACCATGGAGACCCCCTGAGTCTTCTAGGCTAACCGCCCTCCTTGGCATTGACTGAACGTAGGCTCCCGTACACGTGGTGGGTTTAGATTGTGTGCTTCCCTTCCTGTGCCATTTGCCTAATTTAACCCCCTTTCTTCATTAGAACCTGCCAGCTACTAGGCCACACCTTCAACCTTAGAATCATCCACCAGACCAAAAACGTGCCAAATGCCCTGGGCTGTGCACCTGTAGCCTACGCTTGCGTGTCCTCACACACACACACACACACACACACACACACACACACGGGAAGTTCTCACACTGTTTCCACACGTTCCGGCCAAGGCCCCCTTGGGCTTCCCTAACTGACCACAGACTTTAGCCATTTTTTGGTCAAACACCGAGCAGGAGGGGTTTACTCCCTACCCCCTGAAGCACTTGCCTTCTACCAGGAAGGCACAGAATTGGGTAGACACTGAAATGGCAGGGCCACTGTGACAGATATCATCACAGCCACCAGAATTGCCTTGAAAGTTGAATTTCCCACATACCCAAGAAAGCCATCCGTAACCTATCATGGCAGACTTGAGGAAGTAAAACATGTCTCTAAGACCTTGATGGAAAGTGAGATTGGTACTTGCTTAGTGCCAAAGGGAACCCCGGCAACCAAAAGTCATTTGGACATTGGGGCACCTGGGTGGCGCAGTCGGTTAGGTATCCGACTCTTGATTTCTTTTGGCTCAGGTCGTGATCTCAGCGTCGTGGGATCGAGCCCCACGTTGGGGTCCCCGCTCAGCACGGAGTCTGCTTGAATTTCTCTCTCCCTCTCCCTCTGCCCCTTGCCTCTGTGCTTGCTCTCTCTCTCTCTCAAATAAATAAATAAATCTTTAAAAAATAGTCATTTGGACATTGGCACCATTCTCTTGCGCCAACCCCACGTGGACATTCATTCCCACTATAAAACACCAAGTCAACTGAGAACCATTTATCCAAGCTCCTTTACATCCATCGTCTGGTTTCATCCTTCCACTTCTGCCCACCAGTGCGGAAACTGAGGCTGCCACAGTGGGCTATGCCTGGAGTCTGAACGACACCTCCGAGCCAAGACAGAGCTCCTGCTTCACCCTCCTCTGCCTAGGCTGGCCGTGACCGGGGAGACTCTGGAACTGCCGTGAGCCGCTGAGGGGTCTTCTCCTGCAAGTCTTTAGTGCAACAGGCAGAGAGGTGGCCTTCCAGGAGCAGGTATACCAGGCCATCTGGGTCTACAAGCCCTCTCTCCTGGGAAAGTCTCTTTTCTGTCTCTGGCTTTGCATCACGGGGCAATAGGTGGAGCCCCAGATCTGCAGTCCTGGGCCTTCCCTGCATCATCTCCCCAGCCAGTGAGGCACACAGGGTCCCACGTGTCCCCTCTAGGGACGACACAGCAGCACATCCTTCTTTACAGGAGAGCTGGGGGTGACCCGGCAGACGTGGGCCAAGTCCAGCTCATTGCCTGCTTTAGTAAATAAAGTTTTATTGGAACACAGCCACGCCTATTTGTTTCATTATCATTTATGGTCCCTCCGGCACTGTAGGGCAGGGTCGAATGGCCGTGACCGAGACCACACTGCCTGCAATCCTAACTTATTTCCCCTCTGGCCCTTGAAGAAAATAGTTGCCAACCCCTACTTTAGACTGTGTAGCCGGTAAATGGTGCATATTTTCAGACTGTCCAGGCTGGAAATCAGTGAGGTTTTTGGAGGACAGAAGTCACATTTTAAGAGCATTCAACTTGGATGTTCTGGTTCATTTTATCACACATCTCAGAATAGATGATGTGAAGAGGTTTCAATGGACTCCGTGTTTTTTTTTTTTTTTAGAGAGGGGTCTTAAGCCCAAGGAACCCTTAGTGTCAGGCATAATTTGGGTTAGGGAAGCCAGTTTCCCAGTAACCTATGAATAATAAATTGGGACTACTGGGACCTTTGTTGCTAATGGCCCTGCCTTCCCACTAGCTTCCCCTGGGGCCCGGCGGGTGCCTCGGTCCCGGAGCTACTGTGTGAGGGCTCGTGCCCATGATAGACATGCTAGTGGAGTCTCCTCGCTCAGCCTGGCTTCCCTGCATGCTGGTCACTCCAGAGCTTCGAAGGGCAAAGGGGGTCATGCTCTTCTCACTGCCTTTCTCTTTAATGCTTCCCATCAACCCTACCGCTGGGCTCACCAAAAGATACAGAGCAAACTCTGCTTGCGAGACTCAACACACAATGACCCCCAGCCATCTGTCTCAGGTTTGAAAGGCAAAGAGTAAGGGTGATCTGGTTGGTTTCCAAATCCACAAACTGGGGTGAAACATGCTCTGTAACCTTGCCATGCAGCCAGCCCTCCAGGTGCTGTGCAGATGGACCTCTGTGCTGTCTAGGGCACACAAAAGCCCGTGCCTCCCATGCTCTCCGACCCCAAGCTGCTGGCTGACCCACCAGTTCATCAAAGTTTTTCAGACTGGACAAGGAGATTGCCTGCCTTGTCCTATCAGTGGCTGTGAGCACTGCTCCGGGCTGCCCTTACTTCCTAATTAAGTACTCGTTTGGCTTCTGTCCCATTACAGGACCAAGGTCAAATCCATTCCAACAAACCCGAGGGCACATCCAACTTCTTCAATGGCACTCAGTGACCTTGTATGTCATGTTCTTCAGCAGAATAAAGAAATGTGGGCTATGCCTGGGGTCTGAAAGACACCTCAAGAAATGGAAGCTTTAATTGGAGTGGGATTTCGCCTAATGAAATCAGGCCCATAGCGGGATCTGACCTACTCTAGAAGCAACAGTGTATGTCCTCCAGCTTAATCCAAGATGGCTCCTCTTTGGGATCTTCTGTGATACATCTCTGACAGGTGAATGCTCTACTGCCTATGGAAGGACCTTTGGAAAGTTCACGCACAGGCTCTGAACATTGGCATGTGCAACAGGGCTCTCCTGCCCAACAGGCTGGGTTGGTCCCTCTCTTCAAATCTCTTTTCTGAACCAGAGTTAGAAACACACTGGCTAGGAATGGGCAGCGCTCACTGGCCAAGGAACCCGGGCCCGGGCCACCAAGGAATGTAAGACCAGGGTTTTAACAGTTAGGCAGCAGGCATGCAGAATTAGGGAAGCAGAGCCTACAACAGGAGTATCACCTACAGGCTTTAGGGTTAGACACCACCTCCTTCAACTCACCAGCATGCTCAGCTGTGGCTGAGCTCTGGGGGGGAGTCTGTGTGATCCGAACAAGATTTTTACTGATGCTTCTTCAAATACTTTTACATCCCACGAGAAGAGAAACAGACGGACATTAGCTCCCCTTAAAAGCCTGTTTCTAGGGGCATCAAAGTGGGGATTTGGGTTTACTAACTAGACAAACTCTCTTGAGATGAGAAATACCGGAATAATTCTTTGGTTTGGCCAAACCCAGCTTCTGGAGGAAACCAGGTATCAGGCTGAGGGTTCTGTTTGGAAATCCACATCCACTTTGCGTGGAGCAGAGAAGAGGGAAACAAAATCAGGAATATTTGATTCCTTGTGCCAATATCATTTTCACTCTTGCAAAGTCAAGCCAAGGGTGGTTTGAAGTGTTCAGCTATCATTTGTGCTTCTGCAATGTTAGAAAGACAGTGAGCTGGACTGTGAGAAAAAACGCCCCCAAATGCCCATTCTTTGCCCAGTGGGGCTTCAGTTTTCCCTCCAGATATCGTCTCCTAGGAAGGATGCCTATGCCTGGCCCTCCTGCATCCTGGGACACACAGCAGCCGATAAGAAAATAAGAAGAGGATTTAGATTATGGCGGGACAGGTGCGGGAGTGGGGAGTGAACGCTGCACAGGGCCAGGCTCATCCTGGAGGCAAGGGGATGGTGCCTCTGCCCCACCCCACACAGGCTCAAGAGCCAGGGAAAGGCCTTCCCTGCCTGCTTCCAAGCTCAAGCAAGAGGATAAAGGAGCAATGAGGCCCAAATGAAAGGCAGAACTTGTGCTCGCTAAAAGTAAGCAGTTTACAGCTAGAGTTTTGTGGGGGTTTTGTTTTTTTTTGTTTTTTGGGTTTTTTTTTTTTTTTTTTTTTTTTTTTTTTTTTTTTTTTTTTGGTGTCTTCCCACAAGTGCAAAGGAGAGCAGGAGGGCATGGTCCCTGACCTGAAGGGGCAACCACGATGCCTGGTTTTGACCTGACCAGCCTGAGGGTCCTCATTCCCCTTTCCGGCAAGGGGCCACAACACATACTCCAGGATCTGTGGCCCCATGGCTGAAAGGTTAACTAAGCAAAGTTTTTTGCACATCCCCTGGAGCTGTCAGGGGAGAGCAGTGAGCTGCTATTTTGGGAGGGGGCGAGAAGTGCCTAACAGTGCCCTGGTCCTGCCATTCAGAGGACCAGGCTCATTAGACAGCAGGCTCCCTGATGCTGCCTTCCCTTCCACCCTCACCCTGTGCAAAAGGACACCAGCGGGCAAGCTCCTCCAAGGCAGGCAAGCCTTCCTCCGGCATTGATAGGAAGATGGGAAAATTAATAGGGGTAATATGAGCTCATTTCAATAAGAATGAGCTTAGGAACATGCCAGGTTTTGATCTTTTCTGATGCACAGATTCCTGGCAGGAACTGTGGTCCTACATAGGTGTTTGAAAGAACTGAAAATAGACTTTTAAAAAATCCCTAAACAGGGCGCCTGGGTGGCTCAGATGGTTAAGCGTCTGCCTTCGGCTCAGGTCATGATCCCAGGGTCCTGGGATCGAGTCCCACATCGGGCTCCCTGCTCCTTGGGAGCCTGCTTCTCCCTCTGCCTCTCTCTCTCTCTCTGTCTCTCATGAATAAATAAATAAAATCTTTAAAAAAAAAAAAATCCCTAAACAATAACAAAAGAAGGAAAGTCACAAACTTAAAACAACAATGAAATTTTAAAAAAAGATTTAAACATTGGTCCCCCAGAAAAAGAAAAGGGGGGGAAAATTGGACTGACATAAAACCCTTTTCTCCTTCTTTTAAACACTGTTTTTAACTGCTTCGAAAGTAACGAATTGTATGTGGATAAAAATAGATCTGGGGGTGCTGGTTAATGGGGCCTTGTGAATCATTCAGCATAAGGAACTGTCAATATTTTTTTTGAGCTGTCAGAAATCCATTTAGTGATTTTTGACAATTCCAAAAAAAATATTTCTGACTGCTTGAGCCAGCTCTTAGCGAATTAGGGAAGGAGAGGGGAAAAGAAATATATCAATTTAAATTATGAACCAAGCCCAGCTTCCTGAGTTCTGCTCTGTGCTCAAAGTAACATCAGAATTCAGAGCTTAAGAATTACCCCCTTCCATTTTCCTTCCCTCCCTCCCCCTCTCCCTTCCTTTCTTCCTTCTCTCCTTTCCTTTCTTCAACAAGTGCATTTCAACAGGTGCATTAAAGTCACAGACATCCATTCATAGATTAGACGTGGAAAGGTCCCACAATCATTTATCTCTGGCGAGGATATCCGGGGACTGGCAATAATACACTGGGCTTCTATTTGGAGAAAGGCTATCGGATACGAATATCTGGATGCCAAGAGAATGTCTTTGATCCTCCCTGCCCACCCCGACGTTCATTTGATCCGATTCTAGGCTTCAAATTTATGATTACGTTTTAAGATCTGGAATTACTTTGGGGGTAACCATGTTCCTGAAGGAGGCAAGTAAGGAAGTACCAATTTGCTAACAAGATCAGGCAGGCATAAGTCCAAGACACACAGGATCACAACACTGCTAACCAGGGGTTTCACAATGCACATTTCTTGTCAGAACAACGGACAGACAGGTGAAGATACAGAGGGACAGAAGGCAACAGTAGGAGGCCAAAGTCACAGTAACTGCCATGTGGAATGTCTAAAGATGAGTCAGTCACAAACACCCCGAAACAATCTCCCTGGTTGGAGAGAGGATCACTTTATTCTATAGTGTGGTTAGTGTGATATGATTTTTAGTACCCTCTAAGTCAATACAAAGAAAAGTTTAAGGAAGCAGGTTTGGCTTAGCAAAGCAGGAAGCAACTGTCTTTAGCCGTCTTACGCAGAAGTTGAAAATACTGAAGGGTTTGCAAGTTACCACGTCTTTCTGTTTTCGTTTTTGTTTTTAAAAATATTCTCGCCCTCGAGTTAGAGATTAAAAACAGGAGCGGTTTGCACTGTGAGACCCCACCCCCCTCCGCGCTGTCCGTACAGGCCTCTCGGGTCACTGGGGTGAGAACCCGAACACAAAAGCATGAGTGCTAGAACTTCCAAAGGAACTCAACTCTCGTGATTGTCTGCACTGCATATTACAGCATCGCTGGGGTGTTTTCATGGTTCGTTCGAAACGTGCTAACGGAGGAGTCTACCTCATTTTTTTAAAATGCACAATTCAGCACTGATGTTTTGGGAAATGAACTAAAGGAAGAGGATTCTAAAACTTACCACACAAGTCTGGCCTCTTGATACATCCAGAATTTGCTGTGCTACTCGCAAGTCCGTTAAAGGCTGCTAAGCCATCAGAACTGTAGGCCCTGAGGACCGACAGCATGTTCATCGGCTTCTCCAGGCCCGGGGGGCCCCGCTCCGGCTTGGGCAGGCCCGCCGAGGGGTCCTGGGCTGGAAGCAGGCCCGGGCCGTGCCACTGCTTCTCGGGCGCCTGGGGCACCGGCGAGACTAGTCCCTGGACGGGCTGAGGGGCGCCCACGGGCACGAGGCTGTCGCTGCTGTCCCTGCCACTGCCGTCCTTGCCGAGGGCGCACTGGGGCTTGCTCATCATCTCCGGCTCTGCCTCCAGATCCTCTTCGTCGTTGTTCTCGCCCTTGGAGGAGTCCATGTCCTCCGAGGAGGCAATGTCGGAGAGGTCATCGGTAGTGTTCTTGCCGGCGGTCTCGGGGATGAGGATCGGGGTGTCCTCTTCCACGTGGGCCTTCCCGTCGGGCTCCTGGGTGGGGCCGGAGCTGGAGGTCCCCGAGCCCACCATGCCCGGGTAGACGCCAAACTGCTTGTAGAAGTCGGACGGGAAGTTACAAAACGCGGGGTCCACCAGGCCGGGCCACGTGCCGCTCTTCTGCTCCCCCAGAGTCTCCTTGGCCGGCCCCGGGGCTGTCTTCTCTGAAGCAGCCTCCAGAGGCCCGATCATGTGGGAAAGCGCCATCTCTTTGTTTGATTGTGCCGAGGGCAGGAGGGCCACCTTACCCGCCTCCCGGGCCTGGTCTTTGCAATTGACCGTCACCCCGACGGCGCTGTCTTTGCGTTTCGCTTTGCCCAGGTGGTTGGCCTGCAGGTGAAGAGCCATCAGCTCCATGGATGAGGTCGTGAAAGCACAAAACAAGCAGCCGTGCCACGCGATGCTGTCTTGCACGGTCACCGACGAGCCCGGCAGTGAGGCGGCGTCCGGCCGCACTGACAAGTCCAGGGGCTCGTACTGCGACTTCTCCGACTTCCTTGGGACCGCCTTACCGCTGACTTTGTCCTCACCACCGTCTGGCCCGTGCACCTTCGTGGAGGGAGGGTCAGACAGGGCTTTGTCCTTCAGGTCCTTCTCCTTCTTCAAGGAGCTTAGGACAAAGCTGTCCATGAATGCTTGCAAGGACCCTTGGAAATTCACACCGTTGCTCACAATACTCTGGTAAGCTCTTCCGATGTCCGAGAAGTGGGTGCTTTTGGAAGGAAGGTCGGCGCCTTTCAGGGTGTCTGAAGGGGCCTCGGAAGTCATGCCGGTGGCCGGCCCCGATGGATCTGTGGACGAGAGCACTCCTGCTGTCCACTGCTGGGAGGCAGGGCCGCCTCTGAAGTCGATTCCGGGGAGACCCTTAAAGGCCCCCCTCAGGATGTCTGGCCTGATAAACAGAGCAGCTTTGTTGGACAGCTCGTCCCTGTGGTCTTGGTTTGGGGGCTGCCCAGACAGTGGCCCGGCTCCGTTCTGCCGTTCCCGGTGATGCCGCTCTAAGTGGTATTTTAAGGAGGCTGACTGGGTGCCGGCATAATCACAGTGGGGACATTTGTAGGGTTTCTCACCTGCAAGATTTCAGCATAAGGAGAGAGAGAGAAAAAAAAGTGTTTATCTCATTTTGGTGTGCCGAACAAGGCTAGAAGGATCAACATTTGTTCTTGGAAACAAAGCAGCTCAAACTAATAATTAGTTAGAGAACAACTGTTTTTTAATAGAAGAATAATTCGTACTCTTTAGCTTTTTTAATGATTTTGTACCATTTGGGACTATTCAGGAATGACATACTATCTACACACAATTAGCTATCTTTTTCTTTATCTAACATGTGAAAACGGCTGTAGATTTAAAAGCTATGATTATGAAAATTAAGCATAATAATTTCAACCACAGTGATCATTAAAAGTAGAAGTTTAAAAAGACAAAGTATGTAACAAATGGGTGGTTGCAATATTTTGTGTATACAATAGCTCTAAAATTTGTTTAAATTATACACATGGAAACCATTTTTAAACCTAAAAATTTTATGGCACTGTTACGCAAGACTGAAATGAATGATTTAAGTCTTGCTCTGCAGTAAATCATGGATATAATTAGCAAATGGCATACTGCACAAGTAATTTATCATTATTTGGAGGGCACCATTCCAGACGAGCTCAGATATCTGCAGACCTACTGCATTGTTTCTAAATAAAGAACTATAAATACCGATTCTATAAAATATTAATACCATTACAGTGCATTATGATTGCAGCATGTAAAGACATATAGTTAAGATAAAAAGCAGTCAGTAAAACTTAAAAGAAAATGAGTAATAAAAAGGTACAAAATATATTTAGTTTCTGTATTTGAAATTAACATTATCTACTGGTCTTTGTAGTGCCTTAAATTTGTACTAATGGCAAACCTAATGCTCCGGTAGTAAAATGTGTAATTTACCTATAATAAGCGCTTTCTAGAGAATAAAAATAGCTTTAAAGAGTGTTTTAAAACATATAAGATCATTTTCAAGAATTAAATATTTATTTAAATTCAACACCCAACTTCTATTGTTCTTTCCACCATGGAAAAGATACCATAACATACAGCCTGGACCTGCCCATGTTGTGGGATAGAGGAAGGGGAGGAGAATAAAAAGATGTGGATTTAAATATATTCCAGGAATTTGTTTGCAATCCAGGGTCTTTTCTGGACTTTGGAATCGAAAAGCTCCCTGGAAGAACCAGGGCTGTGGCAGCCCATTCGCTGATTCCCAGTGGCACCCTGTCGATATCCACAATTACTCCTCTCAGGAAACTGTGTCCCCCCAGCCCTTCCTCCATTGCTAGTGTAAACCAGACTGATGTAAAAAGAAACAGCAAATCACTGGTGAGCGGTGCATCCCGAAGACATTTTACTGTGCCCCAGTGGAGGCTCCGACTCCCAATCTCCAAGGCAGAGGGCATTTAGGGGTAACACGCTTGAGAGGAGGGGAGAAGGATTCCTGGGTACTGTAACTAAGAAGCCCATCAGCCCAGGTTCTGAGCAGGGGACTCCACGTCATCTCCAGATTTTGTCTTGGAACCTTGGAAAAACCATGCCTGCCTCTCCAAAATGGTGGCTCTGTACTCCTCATTCACTCTTGCAGGCCACGGAAGGTCTTCCCCAGACACATCAGAGATGGGAAAGGGGCCCAGCTGGGAATATATTTCTCTAAATGGAAAGGTCCCAACTGTATCTGGCTAGACCAATGACATAGATCGAGCAGTAAGACTCTATCCCCGTTGAGCTTAAGGCATAAATGGACTCGGGCACCATTCTCTCACTTCTTAGACTCAATCTGTGTTAGGCTCAGATTCACTCCAGCGATGCTATTTGGGTATCTCATCAGAGGCTAGGGAACCCTCAGTGGGACAGGTGCTGTGGACAGGCAATTCTGGGCTGACCTGCAAGTCTGGTGGCCAGTTGGAGCAGGAATAGGCCCTGGAGCTGAGGGGGTAGTAGCAGGGCTTGTGACGGGAGATCCGAACCAGGGACTCGGAATCCTGGCCCCCCAGGTTAGCGGGAACCTCGGGGAGGGCCCCGCACTGAGAGCTGGCAGAGGTGAGGCCTGCAGGTATTGGGTGAGACTCAGGTTGCATTTCAGAAATGCACCTGGAAATGATTAAGTGCATCTGGGAAAGGGTTTGCAGAGAATGCACGGGCATTCATTAGCAGGAGCTACAGAGGGAGAATGTGGACTTTGCCTCCAGGCCTCAGTGGGGTGAGGGGCAGTCTGACTCAGTGGGGGCTGCAGGGATGCACAGGGATGTCTATTTCCAAAGGATGCACATTTGAAATGTGCACCGGAGCTGTGGTTCTCAAACTTGATTGTGCATCAGAATCAACAGGGGATTTTAAGACCTTTCCTCCGGAACCTCATGCACAGTTCTGACTCTCGAGGTTTGGGGTAAGTGTACCTGGTGATTCTAATGCGGGGTAAAGAGTACACTTTGAAAAGGCCAAGGTGAAACTGCTTGAGAGCTTAAAAAAATGCTGATGCCTAGTCCTACCTCCACCTCCCCGAAATTCTGAATTCACTGGCCTGGGGTGAAGGCTGGGATTTGGGTCTCTCAAAGGCCCCCACGTGGGCTTCTACGGAGCTGGGTGGAGAAGCACTGGGGGGAGCTTCCCAGGTGGACACTGTGGGATGGCTTAGCATGGAAGGTGGTCTGCTCTGGACCCTAGGAAGTGTTTGGAGCATCTGTATGAGGGACCAGAGCCCCCATGCTAATTTGCACTCGCTGGGGCACAGGATTCCCATCTCGGGAACTTTGCTTCCTCAACCTACAGTGCAGGAAGGTGGTGTACTTAGTACCCCCTAAGGCTCATGTCAGCTCTAAAACCCACGTCAAGAGCAAAACCAAGTCTCCTGAATGGGCTCAGAGACACATGTGTACATACACGTAGGCACCCACACACCCAGAAGTGTGCAGATCCGTTCACACACAATGGTTTTTTAAAAAATATTTTATTTATTTATCTGAGAGAGAGACCACAAGCAGGGGGAGGAATAAAGGGGAAGGGAGAACCAGGCTCCCCACTGAGCAGGGAGCCCGACGCGGGGCTCCATCCCAGGACCCTGGGATCATGACCTGAGCCGAAGGCAGACGCTTAACTGACTGAACCACCCAGATGCCCCAACACACAATGTTTTGATTGAATGAATGATTACCTTCTATCCCCCGAGTAGAGAGGGCAAATGAGTGAAGAACCAAAGAGATAAGGCCCCCAGTTCTCACTGCTTTCAGGGGAGACAGATCATACAGTTACTAAAGCAAGTGGAGTTCACACACATACACACCACACACACCACACTCACACACACATCACAATCCATCACATGCACAGCATTCATCTACACACACATATCACCACACACATACACATGCCACGCACCCATCACACGCTCATACACCACACGTGTACATTACACACACATACACCACACAGTCATAGACCACGTGTGCACACTTCACATATAACACATGCACACGCAACACACACACATACATATCACACACATACACACATACCACAGATACATAACTCACACAACACAAAGAGAAAAACTCTCCCTTCAACCCACTGCTCTCTTAAAGTTCAGAATAGGGGCGTCTGGGTGGCTCAGTTGGTCAAACGTCTGACTCTTGATTTCAGCTCAGGTCATGATCTCAGGGGTCGTGAGACAGAGCCCCGCATCAGAGTGTGGGCTCAGTGGGGGGTCTACTAGAGATTCTCTCTCCCTCCCCCTCTGCCCCTCCCCGCCACGCTTGAGCTCTCCCTCTCTCAAATAAATAAATAAATCTTTAAAAAAAATAATAAAGTTCAGAATAGGCCCTGGCCTCCACCCCTCCAGGGAAAACACGCCACAGCTGAGAAACAAGAGTTCATCTTAGCATCTGAGTCTCCAAGGGTCCAGGCCCTGCTGGATTAGGGCTATTTAGTGAATTTTCAAGGGTTATTTTGGCTACACGTGATACACACAGGCTCTAGAAAGCCCTCCCCTGGCCTTTCTCTACCTTCCGCTCACGTCAACGGAAGGCCCCTCTGCATGGTTCCACCTCCTGCCTCGTTCCTAAAGGCTTTGTTTGGGGGAGGCTTCCTATCACCCCAATTCCCCGAGAAATGCTCCAGAGTGAAGTTCTAGGGGATAAATCCACCCCTTTGGATTTGTGTTTTAAAAAAACAAAATCCTCGATTTTATTTTCTTTATAACCCTGAAACAATAACCACGACTGCCGTCTCCTTTTTTTTTTTTTTTTTAGTCTCCTTGAAGGCTTCCCTCACCATCCCGGGCTTCATCCCTGAGAGGGCAGAGGAGACGCTTAAGACTACAGCCTGCACCCACATGGGTGCGTGCCTGGCCAGGCAAACCCCAGCATGGAGTCACCTGGACAACCCCAGGCAGCCCGAGGATCTCGCCATCACTGGAAACATCCCGGCGGTTACCTAGACACGCCTCCCCCCAAGGGTGCATTTCAGAGTGCTGGGGGCAAACTCCCAACAGCTGCCTAGACTAGGCGGGGAGAAACCCATCAGCCCCGTTAGCAGGCTTTGAGGGCTGGTCAAGCCCTTCTCCTGTGTTTGGTGACCGACGGCTGCCGAATCTCCCCGTGCCGAGAGCTGCTTCATAGTCAGGGTCTCCGTGGCTGGCCCCGTGCTTCAACCCCAGCGTGCTGGGCGAACTCTAACCAAGCCCCAGGCTTCTGCCAAGGAACAGGTCAGGGGGCCACCCGGCATTCCCCACACAGCCCCATGGCACAGGCAGACCCAGACCCTGTCAGCAGCTCTGTCTGGTTGAATGATTGGCCACTTAGGCCATAAATTGGCCCAAATCTACCGGGAGGATCACTGAGACTGCCCCAAGCTTTGCAGGGGGGTCACGAGTCCTCCAGCCGCCTCCACGATGTTCGGCACCTGCTGTCTTTTCATCTGCCTGTGGCTGGAGCCGGACACGCGGATGCCTTCAGAGCCAGGCAGATCACAGGGGTGTGCAAAACAGTAGGGGAAGGGGCAGATGGCTGTCCTAGAGGGCAGCCACCACTGACACCAAGAAGCTGGGGACGTGAGGACCTCTGACATCTTCTAAGAAAAGCCCCACATCCAGATTTCTATGTGCAATATCCTGGTTTCTCAATATTGGCACCTGCTTTCAAACATCAACCCCAGCAAGGGCCATAGCACCCGATTCTGCAGCCCGGGTCTGCAGGAGGCAACCTGTTTGAAACCTGGATCTGGGAAAAGGATGCCCAGTTCGGAGCTATTCAGCCGCTGGGGAAAGCAGGTGAGGACACTGGTGGCCTTCTCTGGGGAAACCTCTCACAATATTTTAAAGGAATAAGATATGGGCACAAACAGCACATTTCTAGAAAAGAGATTTTTGCTAGAAAATGCATACGGAAATAAAAAATCATCAGTTCATCATTCCAACAGAGTAATGAATTACTGGAAACATCTTACATTAAAGCAGCTACCCACTGACACATGGCACAAGATGTATATTCAACTTTGGGATAACATTGATAACATCTCCCGGTCTCTGTACCATAAATTTTTAGAAATATATGACCAAGTGGTTTAATTAGTTCATTGTACCTATTTTTACATGAGCACGTCTTTCATCATTCTGAGCCTCTACTTTGCACTCGATGAGTCAAAGGAACCCTCACTGTTCTGGGGAATTACGTTGGTACCTCTCAGTGGAGCAAATACCCAATAGCGCCTCTCCAAAAATAACAGGTGGATTCACACTATTCTCTTTGGAAATCCCTTCAGCAAGGTTTTAAGGAGTGCTTCATGCTTCTAACGTGTGTGTGTGTGTGTGTGCGTGTGTGCTAAATTTCCAAAAGTGTTTTAACTTTTAAGTTGGGTAACTGAATATTTTCCCGTATTTGCATCCTCTATTTGATATTTATTTAGTCTTTCTACATGTCTTTACTTAGTTAATACCAGGAGAGATAAATATGGTGGTGCCTTTGCAGCGAAGCTTCAGTACATTAATATAAATTGTACACTAATTCCCCCAAAGCATATATATGTTGTAAACCTGAAGACTTTTCACACAGCTGCTTATTGCTAAACAGTGCCTTGTCCAGAAGGGGACAATCTGTGTCTCTAATTGCTGTCACTGAAGCCGAGATTCATTATGTGACTTTCCCATTAAAATGTGAGCATTAATTTGTATAATGAAATATCACCCACTGCAGTGTTCATTAGCCATGCCCTACTGTATACGGCACATTGTTAGCTACGTAGAAACTGTAGTCAATTTCACTAATGGATATTTCCCTACTTAGTGTTTGGTAGGAAATTTATACTGTAACATTACCTCTTAAACTTTTAAGGAAATTTAAATGCAATCAATTATTTTCAACAAAAGTTTGGGATGTCATTAAGGTAGGAACAGCAAGGTTGGGGGACTGTTGGAGGAATAAAATGGGCTTTTAGTTCATCTTAGAAATTAAAAAAATGATAGAATTTAATTCAAAACAAAAAGAAAAAAAAATCGTCTTTGGGGCAAGCAGATCCTTTTTTTTTCCCCCATCATTATTCAGGTGGCTGTCTCCCACTAATGACAAGAACACATGCTCTCCTTTTAGGGAAAAAAAAGGGGGGGAAGCACCCATTTTAACCAATCTCTTTTTGAATATTTATTCAATGTGCTTTCATAAACGTTTAAAACAGCCTGGTTAACTTACCCAGAAGAGGAAACAGAGAAGCATCAAAGGTAAGGGATGTGGACATCAGGCGTTAGGCACCTGGGTTAGGCCCACTGAACTCTCATTTCCACCCACAGCTAGAGACCAGTTGGTGCTTGGGAAGCTCTTTGAAGATGAAAGGCAGTTTCCAAAATGGCATGCGTCATTTATCATCTCCTGAGGCGGCCTTCCACACCTCCAGGTGACACAGTGGCCCCTTCCCTGCCTCACCGCCTCCCTAACCTCTCTTTGCTGATGGGGAAACTGAGGCACGCAGGGTCAAGGAGGCCCGGCCACAGGCCATTCTGAGTTAGGGGTAAAGGAGGAGCCAGGGTGTACAGTACTTCCCTTTTACATCGCCGGGAGGCTGCGTCAACACACCTTGTGGGTACAAGTCACTTCCTTTCCTCCCGCTGGTTATGGTGTGGACACACACTGTCAAAGAAATGTTGCATTAATTCCCTAAAACAAGCCCAAAAATCCACCCAGAAAAGTTTTAAAAAAAAAGCAATACAGCGCAGCAGTTAGGAGACAGATCTGGGTTGCCCCCTGCAGTTGATGCTGGGCGATTTGGAGTGGGTCACTTCACGTCTCTGGGTGGCCCCCGGTCACCAGGGTGCTGTGAGGGTTAAGGAGGGAATTCACGTGCAGAGCTCAGCACAGTGCTGGCCACCGTTACTATTATTGTTCTTATTACCTTGTCCCTACTGGCTGCATTTTTCTGCCGCCAGCCAGTGGCTACCGTGCTGTGTAGACACAGCCTCGGTCAAGAGGCCAAGAGAATTCGCGGCCCCCACCCCCAGCTGGGCACACATCCCTTGGAGGGTAGTGCAGGACATATAGGTGGTTCTACCAGGACAGAGAAGCCTTGCCCGGGGATAAGCATGCAAGCGAGAGCCAAGGAGGGCACCCCATCCAGGGACTGCCTCTCCAAGGCACCCACCCGGCAGGGGTGAGCACAGCTGGGCGTGCCCACCAGCCCACCCTGACCACAGCCGAGAGCCCTTGAAAACCACCTCTGGCTTCCCTGTGCAAACGCATTTTCATAAAGAGGTTCTCAACTCAGGGCCGGACCAGTGCATGCAGCACATCAAAACCAGATTAATAAACCACTCGCATAATTTGAGAGGGGAAAAAAAACTAATGAGATTTATTTTTAATTAGTCTCTGAACTTTCGTGCCTCCAAGTGTTCATGAGTGAGGTTGCTTATTACATTTCTCTAAAATGGTAATTCCTGAGACAACAGGGAGCCTCCTGGGGAACCCAATGCACAGGTGAGCCGCCAGAGGGGACCCAGCCTGGGGTCCCGCGGCCAACACATGGGGTGTCACACCTGTCTGGGGCTTGTGTGGGGGACACACCCCCCTCCAGCCTTTCAGAGACTGACTGATCAGCACATGCCCACCTCCTGTACACACAACAGACACACTGGACCCTGGAGGGTCTCCCCGAGATGGGGCTGGCGGAAGCGGCAGTGAGGGGAAGAAGGAAGTGCATTTTCAGGGAGCCCATCATGGAACGACTGGCCGGCCTCGGTCGGGGGCAGCGTAGGGGACATCCCTGCCTCCTATTGCTGGTTAGGACCAAATGCTTACTGATGCATCCCCATGATGGTTAATTTTATGTGTCAACTGGGCCATGTGGTACCCAGACATTTGTTCAAATGTTATTCTGGGTGTGTTTGGGAGGGTGTTTCTGAATGAGATGAGCATCTGAATGGGTGGACTGAGTAAAGCAGATTGCCCTCCCCAACGCGTATGTATGTGGGGGGCCTCGACCAGTCCATTGAAGGCCCCAACAGAACAAAAGGCTGAGTAAGGGAGAATTCACTCTCTCGGCCTGTCTTCTAGCTGGGAAATCCACCTTCACCTGCCTTTGGACTTGGGCTTGGACTGGGACTCTCACCCACTGGCTCCCTTGGGTCTGCCAGCTTGCCTTGCTGAATGCCGATCCTGGGATGTGTTAGCCTCCGTAACTGACGGAGCCAATGCTTTATAATAAATCTCTTTGTATATATATACAAACTCTTTGATTATCTATAATATATATTACATATACTTAGAATATATTTATAATATATATATATATATAATTATATATACCGTTTCTCTGGAGAACCCTGATACCACCTCTTTTCTGAGCCTGTGCTGACGGGCCCTCAATTCAAATCACCCGCGTGTACTCGAGATGACCAATGACACACATCCAGTGACTGGATCTTAATCAGCCTGAGATGCTGTGTGAAACAGGAAAGCAGTTCAGCCTCCCCTGGGTGGGCAGGAAATAGCATCTGCCCTGCAAGAGCCAGAGTGGGGTGGCCTCTGGGATGTGAGGGTCCCTAGGGACCCCTGGGGTCCTCCACGTGCCTCCTTCCATCCTGCAAGGATCGGCTGCGGCTCAGGGGGCAGCAGAAACTGTCTGGCTCCTGCAGGCTCTCCCCAGCCTCCAGGTGTTCAAAGCAACCTGACTGGTGCATCTCCTCCGCACCTCCCTAATAAACAGGTGTTGGGAGGAGGAGGGCAGTAATTGAGTTAATGTGTACTGGAGTTAAAAAAGGAAAGTGGTTCTTATCAGTAGATGTTATATGATCAAGACGGCTCATGAAGATGGAGTAGGACAGGAAAACACAGCGAATGTACCACCTCATCTCCCGACCAATTAAAATATATTTATTACACACTGGATTTTTAAATGTGCTCATCTGGGTCCATTATAGAAAGACTTCAGAAGATGGTATTTTGGAAAACATGGATTCGGTTTCATAGACCACTGGCCATGTTGCTTCAGAATCCAAGAACACAGAGAGAAAGGGGTGGGGCAGTGCAGGACGCCCCCACAACCGGAGCCCCGGGTCCCCTCGTTTGTTAACAAATAACTTGATTTTGATTTTTAATTACTCGTGTAATCTACACTTCAACATTGTCATAATGGATATTTATTTTGGTGATTTAGAACATGTAACACTTTCTGTTCTATTCAGATGCACGAGTATAAGCATTTTCCAACTTCTTTGTTCTTTGATAAAAAGGAAATTGATCTTTATCTGGTTACCATTCTGCCTTTTAAACACAGCAAATGCTGTTTCTGAGGGGGGCTGGTGGTGTGATGTTTCCATGGCTTCTTTCATTTTCTCCCTTATTCTGGGAAGTTTCCGGAATGCCTCTTGTCCCTGGCCCTGTCTTGTTCTCTCAGTGTCTCCAAAGACTACTGGTCACAAATCTCACAAGTTTGTGAAACAGAGGAAGCGGAAATTTGGGGAAAAAATAACCTCTCTCAAGCTTTAAAACTTCAAAAAGCGGTATCCATTGGCTTCCACCCATGTTCAGCAGGACGCCCGCCAAGTTTGGTCCTAATTTACCCGAAATATTCGGCGGAGTGTCTCCTGTTACTGATGGACCAGCTGATGGGAGTTGGGCCCCGCGGGGTCAGCAGAGCTCCTGGTTGGGAAGAACTGCCTTTTCTTTCCTAACCCACACTGCCTGGCAGGACAGACTTCAGCTGTGGTGAGCCACCAGCCACACGGTAAGCTTGGCCCGGGGGCCTGTGTCTACAGCTAATAAGAGGACAGTACCACAGGACACACCTGGCCAGGTGTTCACACTCTTGCAGACAGCCCAACAACGGGTGCCCCAGTGGATTACCTCCCACTTCCTGGTGTCTGTGACCCCTCCTTCCCCGACTACCAGCACAACCCTATCTGGGGAAGAAAGTGGACATCGGCATGATCTGAGAAAGCCAGGTATCTGAGCTGCCTCATCCTGAGCCTGATCACTGGGAAGACCTCACTGAGAAGGGGGCTTCAGTGCCAAACTCTGAAAATGATGGAGCAAACCAGTGCACCTGTCTGGCAGAGAATTGCAAAGGCCCTGAGGCTGGAACTCAGGAGCCCCTCACCAAGCTCAAGGGGGAGAGGGTCTTCTTTCTGAACCCGCAGACCATCTGCCATACTGTGGCTTCCAATGGGTTCACATGGGCAGGTTGCCTTTCCAAAAGGACCGCAGGTTCCCTGGGGAAAGGTCCACGTTCCTCACCACCCTCGTCCCCTCCGTGCCACCTGGCACAGTACAGACTACAGGAAGGTCACTAATTTATTCTCAAGTTTGTTCTGACATTCAAGCTTTCAAATAAATTTATTGTGTCCCTACTACATGTAAGGCGCTCTGGTAGGCCCTAGGGTTCTAGAAATTATAGCAATTAAAAACATGGACAATATTGCTACCCTCACATTCGACTTGGTGGGAGACAGTGCATAAGGAAATGAACAACTGAATTGAACAAGATAATTTCAGCAAGTGCTAAGTTTAGGAAGAAAACTGAACAAGGGGCACGAGGGATATTTTAGACGGGGTAATCAGACATGGTGTCTCTGAAGAGCTCACATGGAAGCTAAGCCCCCAGTGACCACTGGAGGAAGGGCATTCCAGGTGGAGAGCACGGTGGGCACAGAGGCCCTGCAGTAGGAATTGGCGCTCTGCACTGGGGGGGCCAGAAGGAGGCCATGGGTTTGGAGAGAGATGATGAGGATGAAGAATGGTGCAAGATGGGTCAGATCCTACAGGGCCTGGGGGAGGGACAGAACAGGTGCATCGTTTGAGAAGCTCCCTCTTTGCTCTGGATAGCTCTAGGAGAGAAGTGCTCTGGGGCAGGGAGGGACGGACGATGGCGATGCTTAACTGCGCCCCAGACCACGAATAGAGATGGCAGCCCAAGGCCCACTGACACCTGTCCTTGGGGCTCACCCCTCAGTGTCAGGGAGATCTGCAGGCACCAGGTGCGGTTCCAGGTGAAGGCCTCCTTCTCTTTAACCACACGCCGCACACGAGGCCCGCATGCACTAAATATCCTGCACAACCCTGAGCTTTATTGATTCCTTGGGAAATAGACCACAATTATTTTTGAAAATAGATGGCATATTTGTCTATCCTCTGAAGCAGCTCATACTCCAATAGATAAAGTGTCAGGAGAAAAATCAAAGAAAATGGAGGTGTCCATATCTCAGATAGATTTTTTTTTTTTTTTTTGTATTGGCAATGTGCAAACAACTAGCAGAAAAGCTAAAAAAAAAAAAAAATGACCGAGGGACAAGGCAGACAGACCCCCAAGAAGTCCTCATTTCAAGGGCCTAGGAGGATACGGAAACAGGAGAAATGACCACGGTGGTCCAGCAGCCACTTCATCTGTTTGGTTAAGAGCACCTCCACTCTTCTTTTGAGGGGACCCAGCTGAGAGCCACCGGTCCTCCATCCCGGGTAGTGGGCCACCTCCACCAGCCCAGCCCCAGGTGGGGGTGCCGAATCCCAGCCGGGAATTTGGAAAGGGAGCTGCCCCATTCCCTTCCACACTCAGGGTCTGAGCCGGGCTCTCTTGTGCTCTGCACCCTGGTCAGGGCAAGGGTCCCACTGCATTACACACATCAGCAAACCGTCCCGGCGCCTACGCCCAAGCATCCTCCTCCCAGACCCGGGCCACAGGGGGTCTGCGTCTATGGGCCAAGTGCCGCTCCGGAGGGAGGCCGGCTGCGAAGCGACCAACCGGGGCAGAAGGACCCCGCAGCGGTGTCCCGACAGCCCCGTGGAGGGCGCGGTGTTGCTGGGGGCATCACAGGGGTGACCTGAGCCGGGAGCATGGCCCCTGCTGGACGCTGCGCCCCCCGGACGCGCCCGCGCCTCTCACCTGTGTGTATCCTCAGGTGGACCTTTAGGTGATGGGATGTCCGGAAGGTCTTCCCGCAGTACGGGCAGTCCTTCATGGCCGAGCCCAGGCTCCTCTCGCGAAGCAGCGCGGGCTGCTGGACGCCGGCAGCTCTCCCAGCCTCCTCGCCGATGTCTGCAGCGGAGGAGAACATTCGCACATCACTTCAGCACGTCAGAAGCTGTTCGCACCAAAACTGCTAACACCACACAAAGTTAAACATGTCACTACTACACCTGTCTATTTCATTCTTTAAATCTGACAGAATGCTGACAATTCATGTATTTTCTTGTTATTCTCTTAAATTATTTCATCTTCCCCATCATCATTTTAAGCAGCATATGGTACCTTTATATTGAACTGAATTAAACAAGAAAAGAAACAGCTGTGTCAGCAGCTGGTTTGATTTCTTCTTTTGCTTAGCTCCTATTAAATATTTTTTTTTTCCAAAAGTTTAAAAATGTTGGTGTTTGTTGAATCTGATTAATTTGTAATATGGACTAGCTGGAGAGCTCGCTATAGGATCGAAATCACATTTGCATTATATCTAGCAACAAATGGAAGGAAAAAAAATGTGTCTCGGCCGAGTCCCGAAGACATGCAGACATACAGCTATTTTGGGACAGGAAAGACAATTATCCACAACTGATCATTTCTTCCTTGTAGAGCCTGGTATCCATCGCTGGCTGCTGTAATCTTATGAAAGGGAGAAGAAAAAGTATGGAAATGCGATTCCACAATTAGCCCATGATAAACATATAGTGACATATTCAAAGTCATGTGCAGAAACTCAGCTGCAAAACTCCCATAAACTTCGAGCAGAGCAGTTAAATCTTTGTGCAGTGACTTGAGAACTTCCTCTGTAAAGTATCAATACAAATTTTCCTTCTTGCTGTTATTTGTTATGTAACCCAAACCATTAGAAAATGGAATAAAATTTACATACGGCTGCCTTCTGCACGGAAATGATGGGACATAATAGTAAATAAAACCATGAAAATATCTAGTGGTTGGAGGATATGTTATTGCAACACCCGAGGCCCGACATCAAACTGCCAGAGAGACGACATCCAGGGACCAGGTCAGGAGCTGGGAATCTGCAGCTCTCAGGAGGGGAGGCATGGGAGCCCTCTCCGCTGGCCTCCCTGCAGAGCCAGAGGCTCACTCCCTTGGCACAGAACACAAGCTCCTGGGGCTGGTGGGGTCCTCGATGCAGCTCCCAGCCTACCCTCTAGGACCCATGGTAGATCCACTAGGAGAACAAGGGGACCTTCAGATATAATAAGCAGACCTGTGAGTTCTGCAGAGAAGCAGAATAAACAAGATTTGTACCTTCCAAGCAATGGAAAATGCAAATTGCTTTTATTCTACAACATCCGTTCCTGGTGTTCTCCGCTAACAGCCAAAAGGGACAGACTTATAGGCCATGCACAAGATGAAGGCAATCACATTTAATTCTTATTTGGATGTTTGCTCCAAGCAACCGTGGAAACCCTTGGCTTCAAGCATCCTCTCTGCATTTGGGCTAATGCACAGTGATAGCGTCACCCTGGAAAAGTTCTTTGAAGGCTCACTTTTGATCCCATTCTCTCCAACTCCTCCAACCAGCCTCGGAAGAGCCGTTCAAAGGGTCTATCAGCATAACATTTTTTTTTCCTCATAATCTTGCACAGGTAGCAGGACCGGGTTTACTGGCATCTAGAACCCAACCCACCTAGCACCAAGCTTTCTCGTCAACCACACGAATGTTTTAAGGTGGCTACTGAATCGGCAGGGGGGGTGCGGTGCGCACAAAACGATTTGTTTTGCCACTTCACGGCAAACCAACGCCCCACTGCACTCATAGTGGGGCGCTCCACAGCCCACAGGTTGAGCCCACCGGGGGCTGCTGTCCAGGAGAACAATGGCCAGATGCCAAATTCAAGTCAATTATACCCTAGGTATAAATAGCTGGAATGCCATCTCCTACCCATCCTCCCGCCCCCAGCCACCCCAACCCCAAACGTGTTGCATTTGTCCCCGCCCCCCAGCATTCTTCAGCTTTCCTTTTGTGGGATCCTGAGTTCAGCTTAAAATCACAAAGAGCGTGATTAAAATTCTGTCAAGTGCTCCCTGCAACAGAGTTAAGATACCCTATTTAAGTGAGAAGGCCAATAGCTGTCAGTTTGAATTATAAGCAGAACTAAGTGCCCCGGATGTTGGCTTCAGGACAGAGGTAGTGGGCAGGCGTGGACTTTTGACATTAAATTCCTGCAAAGCCCAACGCGCTTCCCCAGAACCTTCCTCCAACAGAGCCCATTTGTGAGCAGTAGAAAGGTGGAGCTGTCCAATAGGAGGGAGAGAGCGTGGGGGACATACTTCTACTGTAGCTTTTGGGGAGTCCTTGTCCAGGGCACATGATAGATAAATACATAGATAAGGCCCATGTACCACTCTGGAAGGTTCTATGGAAGCTGAGGACGAGAAGGGCCTCACTATATGTCAGTCTAAGTGATGGCCTGTATCTGTTTTCCTTTTATCTTTCTATCTTGGACATGTGTGGCCCAATAAAAAGAATAAATTTGTAAGATAAACAGCTTTCTTTGCAGATTTAAGAGCCTAATTTTCACTTTACACAGAAATGGTGTTGTTTTATTTTTTTGTTTTGTTTTGTTTTTTGGAGGGCCAGAAGGCCTATGGCATTTACTCTTAGACTAATCCAACTAGAAAAAACAAACCCTGAGCTACGATGAAGGGGAATTGCGGGTGGTCCCAGGAAGTGTCCGAGTGGCTGAACGCCAAGGATAGCCGTGGCTGAGTAAGCACCCTCGTAGGGCCTGTGTGTGCATGGGGGCCTGGCCCCAGATGGGTAGCAGAGAGCACGGCGTGCCAAATTCGGTCCAGCCACACCGGGAACCCAAGAGGACGCCTTCTCTCCCCAGAGTATAAAAGCACCAACGGCTGTCCTTCTGCAAGGCTCCCCAGGATGGAGTCCCCAGGCTTTGCCTGTGGCCCCACAGAGCTGGACACTGAAGCAATCACCAGGCCTGCTTACAGAAGGACCGGCCTTCCCGGCCTATCCAGGAAACAGGCGGTAGAAAGGAAGAAGCATCATAGAAGTCACATTTGTCATCTTTCCTCAGACCGTTTGTGGGTTGGTTTCAGCTTTTTAAAAAATGTCCTTTTCCTAAAACCTGCAGTATCTCTTTTCCCCGTGCAGACACTTGCTCTAAGTGTGTTGAGTAGATGGAAGGTGGACGTGTACACAGAGGTCAACCCCAGATGTGACGTCTGCTTCTCCTTGCTCATCCGTGAAAGAAAGGCCAGTCAGTCCTGCTGGCTTCTAGAGGCCGGGGTGTCCCCGGGAGCAGGGCATCTGGCTGCAGGCTGGGAGGCCAGCTTCAGCCTGGGTGGGTTCTGAGCCTTATGTGACGGGGAAATGGCAGAGAAAGAACTCCAAGGATTCCTGTTTCTTTTCTTGACCCCATTAAATATGAGATCTATTCTTCAGAAACGGATGTCTTGCGTGGATGCAGCAAATGATACTCCAGAGGACACAGGCTGTATGCATAACCCTTCCAGAGCTTTGGCTTAGAACAAGTGAATTGTCCACTTGTATCAAAAACCCTGCAAGCTTTCTCCTATTCCTACAAGCTAAGACTGGCTTGCTGAAAAAGAGGGGATGGGCCTAGTCACTGCAAGCTATGTTTCGAGTATATGTTATTTGGGGGCGAGGGGACATAAGACAAGACCTTCCTAATTTTGTCATCTTAAGGTCAGACACCATGCCTCCCACATTTCCATTTGCTTGTTCTAATCCTCCAAGTGTACAGCAAGGTTGGCCTAGATCAAGGGGACATTAAGGTGCATTACCATCTCCCCAGCATTCACAGAGGGAGGGTGGGAGAAAGGAGGACCCAGAGGGATTAAACATGGCACGGATCATGTTAGAATCCTCATCCTCAGCTGAGCCACAAACTGGCAGCCTGGATAGACAAAGAATCAAATACTTAGGAAGACAAACAACTTTCCAAAAGTTAAAGCCTAAACACATACAAAATACTACCAGCCGCTGTCTGAATCCATCCTCAAAGTTGGCTATCCTGCTGGACATGAATATGATTTGAATTTACGGGGGCCTCATTATACACTTAAATATGTGTGTGGGTGTGTGTGCACGTGCCCGCATGTGTGTGTGTGTGTGTGTGTGTGTATACATACATATATATATATACACACTGCAACGTAAAAACTTAGTTAATGAAATAAAGTTGTATTTTAAGGGTAGATTTCCCCCCAGTTTATCTTTAAACACTGAGCTTCCTTGGTACATATTTAAAATAGGCTTGTTTGCTGAGAAGGCTGACTTGGGAGTCAGGAGATGGCATCTTTTCCTTCCGGGTTCCTAATGCCTGGCTGTCCTTAGATAAACCCCTTCACCCACCGCCTGCCCTGGTTCCACCTGGCCCAGAGGACTGAACCTCCCGACCCTTCCCCTCCAGCTCCCTATAACCCTGCAGTGCCATCTTCCAGGCTGTCTTCACCCACTGCCCAGCTTAGGCTCAACCTAAGCCAAATGATAAACCAGAGATGGGTCTTAGAGAGCCGTGAAGGAAAACCAATGAAAGAGACACAAGTGCTCCTAAATAGTCTGCGTGCCCCCCTATTTCCCCCAACATCATTTACACTGAGCTGAGATCAAGTGACAAATCCCGGCCAGTGGCTGGAGGCCACGCCCCCTCCTTCCTCTCTCTTCCCTGCCACGGTGGCCTACAAGACAGGGGTTGGGGTGGCAAGAATCACAAACCTAGAGGACGACGGGGTGCTGAGTCTCCAGATGGCCGGCAGCCGCCCCATGCCAGACTGAGTGAATGAGAAAAAGCCACGGAGATGTGGAGAGCCGTCGTCATCGGAGGCCACCGGGAAGTGTCCAGGCAGAGTCCACCTCTCCTGGTCAGGTGCTCCGGGCTTAGTCCCAGTCCCTCAGGCAGTCCCATCGACTCACGGAGCGAGGCCCGGGAGCAAGAACCAGGGAGACCAAAAGGGACAGAGCGAGGCAGAGAAGTGAAAGAGAGGGTTCCTCTCAAAGCGTTCCTGTGTGCCCCTTCTCACTCCATCCTGCCAAGGCGGCCCTGCCCTTCACGTGTCCAGAAGTG